GAAAACCTGTTTCTGAAGTTAACAGAGTAGATGTGAAGAAGGTTAAGAAAGGATTCAGGCAGATAGCAAGTAGACTGTTCAAAGAGTTGAAGCTGGAAAGAAGCAAGGATGAAAATGATAGAAATGCATGCCCTCTTTGCACTGAAACTCCCTCCTCTTCATGGTGGCTGTACAGCCTTCAATGGCATCTGGTCCTTCAGTCCACTATTGGTGAAGACTGTGAGCATGAATGTCCAGAGTTCTCTTCCACATGTCTTCTCACATCTCTTTGAATTTGGCACTTTGACCATGCCTTCTTTTTTGAACCTCCTTCCTGGACTGATTTGATGATACTGTGCTGATTCATATACCTCTTATGAGTTATCTTCTTGCTTATGTATTTGTGGACATAACCTGGGAGTCTGTCTGGCTATCTTTTCTCCATGGAACATCTCTCCAACAGTTCTCTTTCACTTGTACAGCTTCACTTAGAACATCAGACCAGGCTTCTGTTCATTACAATGAAAAGAAACAGATGGAATGCAGAAGAACCATGTAACTGAAATCTGTAGTACTGGTCTAAGTGAATATCAAAATAGAGGCAGAGAAGGAACCAAGATGGCATCTGTAGTGGGAAAGAACTATGTTTAAGAAATGGAAAGATGTGGTCAGAACTGATGATGGGGTTGAATTGGTATAACATTCAAGTGGTATCTAAAGTTCTCCTATGTATTCAATATCATCCTTCCTTCTGAGTTAATATCACATTTCCGTTTGCTTATTGCACATCTCCATGTATGACACAGACAATACTGAATCCTCAGCAAATCCTATTGTTTCCCAACTTGTCTAAGTCCATGAGAAAACCCCACTTCAGTTATGTTGGCACCATGTGACATATGGGCAGCAATGTCTTCCATGTACGGGACTGAGCACAATACCTTGTACAAATGTCCACACTGTGTCTCCTCCATTTCTGCACAACCTTAGAGGGCATTTAAGATGATAACATCACAAGATGGAAGGAGCTTAAATAGCCACTTCACTGCTTTGAGAAAACATGTCACGGTTCAAGAAGACAACATATGGCACACCCAAGTTGAGAAACTGAGAAGAGATTTACAGGACATCTCTTATATAGGAGAGAAGAAATTTTACACCTAGCAGTGGAGAATGATGTAGTATGCCCAGGGCTAGTAATTGTGGAGAGATATTACTACTCCTAGGTCTGAGAAAACAAATGAAGGAAGTAGATTCTAGAACCCAGAGAGAGTGCTGTACAGAGATTATTACTTGACTGGAGAATTTCCTAATAGGAACACGCTGCCAGTAGAGGGAACATTACAGAAATAAACACTATAACTTAATCCCCTCTCCTGCTCTTCAGTCACATACTGTGGTTGTCCTCCAGTGAATGAACCCTAATCAGAAGTTAGAGGGCAAAAGAACCCATTGATAAGAGCTAATTAGGGCAGCCTCCGTTAACAACCCCAGGTGAAGAATAGGAAAGAGTCAATAGAGAACTAACAAACCCTCATTAGACTGTGATAAGTACAAGAAAGAAACCTTTGTTGTACTGAGACGCTGGTATTTTAGGACTATTTACTACAAACTAACAATAGTTGCCTTGATTATTATATATCTTTACACCCTGCCAACCCCTCAGATTCTATAAAGCTTTTGTTAATATGTGGGTTATACAGTGAGGTGGATTCCACAATACAAGACACCACTGTACTCAAAATTAAATTGTGCAGTCAACTTTAATGAATCAAAGCAGAGATACAAAACGATACCTTAAGAGTTAGAAAACTGCCCACTCTCAAGAGTTTACTGTACTCTTGATCTCTTGATGTGTTTTATTTACATTCATTAATATGTTAAATCTGATGGCCAGTTAAATAAAGAACCAAAAAAGAGTCATAGTGAAAAGTCATGTTGTCATGCAAACCTGACTTAATGCAGTAGACTGCATTACAAAAATGCTAAATATTCTGTTTTTTTCAATACAGAATTTCTGTTGCTATATGGATGTACCTGGCTATTGTTAAATATTTGACCCACCCAACTTTCATTGTTCTGATTCCTTGTTGATCAAAGAACACCCTGCTTTTGATCCATCCCATTTCCCATGAAGGTATGCTTAAAGTAAGAAAGGAGGCTAAACACATTCATATTCATCCATTAATTATTTTTTATTATAATTTACTAATTTTAAATTCTAATTTTACATATGTCTTATGATCTTTGTTAACGTGAAGTCACTGATGGAAAAAAATGCTATGCTTTTAATTTCCAAAGTCATATTTCAAAGCCTAGTCTTTATGCTGAATTCACCAGAAAAAGCAATGCTACTGAGAGAAACCTCTTAAAAGACAGTGAACTGACCTTCCCTAGTGACTACATCCTGTAATTTCTATGTTAAAGTGCACAAGCTACTTTTTTTAAAAAAAATTATACTTTAAGTTCTAGGGTACATGTACAGATCATGCAGTATTGTTACATAGGTATACACATGCCATGGTGGTTTACTGCATCCATAAGTGGTTGTTGAACAATGAAAACACATGAATACAAGCTACTTTTATCTTTCAATACTCATTATATGCAAACCCAAACCAAGCTGAATTCCTCAAGCTCAAGTACTAGAAGGAATGTTTATTGCTTTCTTCTGCCTTATCTGCTACATCTAATCTACTGTCCCCAATGAGTATTTATCAGAATCCAACTCAAGCTCTTCCTTTTCTCACCACTGATTTAATCTGATGTCTTGCTATATTCGTTTGAACGTTTGCAAACGTCCTGGCTGGTTGCTGTGTCTTCACTCTTTTTTATAATCCATCCTACACATGACTCACAGATGGTCTTTCTAAAACACAGCTGCAATGCTCAAAATAATCAAATTATTCCCAGTTACTCCAACTTCTTCATCCTGACATTCTTGTCCTCCCTAATGTGCCTCCAGTTAATCTAACACATACTCCTATGTGTATATCACACATCAATCAAAGAGAACAGCTTGTTGTCCACAAATATGCTTTTTGCTAAGGGACTTTTAAGAATGGGCTTTTATATAGTCTAATAGCATTCAGTAATTTTTATGACATATGTTTTTCTTCTAGTCAGAAAATGTTTTTCTTCTATGTCCCTTCTTTTATAAAACAAAGCCCTCTTCATGTTCTGGGTGGCTTTGCTAAAAAAACAACAACAACAACAAATACAACAGGTGTCTACAGATCCTTAGATAGAGACCCTGACATTTAAGCCACTGATCTTGATTCAACAAGTAAGATATGTGGATTCAATCAGGGCATTTTGACCATAGGAACAGCTTAGATCTGTGTAGAAATACATAGGCAGTAGGGTTTCCAAGTAATAGTGAGAGTGCGATTTGTAAAATAGGAAATAATGTGAGTTTACTCAGTAGCAGCTATTCATTGACTGAAGAAGGAAAAAAGGTATATACAGAATTACTCTCTCAAAAGTGGCGACAACTCTTATGCAAGCTATGGACTTTGGAATTTTTGCTTTCAGTTTCCCAAATACCTCAGGGGAATACCAAGGAAGACCCACATGCTCCTTTATTTACCCCACAGTCCACAAGATAATAATCTGGAATAACTATGTACTAAAATTCCATTTGTTACAACTTGATCTCCAATGCACATATCAAACTCTACCTCTTCCTCAAAGCTTCAACATCTCAGCTGAGAGCTCCAGATCCCTGTCTCATGTAAGTCAAGTGGCTTAATGGACACAGTACTGGCTTTGAATCGAGTTTGAGTCTTTTCTTTTTTTTTCTTTTTTTTTTTTTTTTTCAAGAGGTGGGGATGGAGTCTTGCTCTGTTTGCCCAAGCTGGAGTACAATGGAGCAATCTCAGCTCATTGCAAACTCGAAATCCTGTTTCAAGCAATTCTCCTGCCTCAGCCTCCTGAGTAGCTGGGATTACAGGTACACACCAGCATGCCAAGCTAATTTTTATATTTTTGTAGAGACGGGGTTTCACCATGTTGACCAAGCTGGTCTTCAAATTCTGACCTCAAATGATCCACCCACCTTAGCCTCCCAAAGTGCTGGGATTACAGGCGTGAGCCACCACAGCTGGCCAAATTTGAGTCTTATCTCTAAATCTATACCTGCATGAACTTGGGCAAATGTGACAACCCATCTAAACTTTTGTTTCCTGTTTAAAATAAAAACAACAGAAATCCTGTTTCTTCATCTTCCTTTCCTTTTATTACTATTTTGATCAGTGTATATCAATTATCTTTGTCTGTAAACTTTATGTACCTGTAGAGCATAAGCTGTGTCTCTCTCTTCTCTAAATCCTTAACAGAACTGAATATAATTTTACATACTAGACACTGAATTAATGGTTAAATGAATTAATGTCAAATTTATGTGAAGTAAAATGCACTTTGATTTAAGAAAAGGTACTTAATAAAATGTTACAGAAAAATTTACTGAAAGGTGTTACATGGTTTCCCTTTCTTAATAGTTACCTTTGAAAGGCATCCTGACCGGTTAATTTTACAATGTCTCCTGCTGATATTACTGCTTTTGTGCAAAGATGCCCCTTTACCAGTTTCCTGCTAAAAAAAGGACAACCTTTTCAGTCCTAATTGAAGGTTTGCCTTCTTAACACCACTGCTAAAGGCCTCTCACCAAAATGGTCACTATTGTTCAAGAAGTTAGTTTGTCTCCTTTAGTAGATTTCACAAAGATTTTTCCTTCTAATGTCAAGACTGAGATGAAGAGTTGACTAAAACACCGTGAGGGAGTATAGATGGTTTGAGACAGAAATGATTTCAGATAACTCACTATGTAACCCTTATGAGACATCAGAAACATTCTAAAGCAGTATTAGAACACCATACAACTGTTGGCCAAAGTGTTATCAAAATCGTGTTTGTGAAACTCCTTCCCGCTGGCCACAGAGTCCAGGTCTTTCTAGAAGCCCCTGTGGCTTCAGTAGTTTCAACTGCAATCAGGCCCAGATATTTCCTGCCTGGAACCACAACTGTCTCTCTCTTTTTTTTTTTTTTTTTTTTTTTGGTCAGTTGAGTCTTGCCTGTCACCCAGCAAGAGTGCAGTGGCACAATCTTGGCTCACTGTAACCTCCGCCTCCCAGGTTCAAGCAATTATCCTGCCTCAGCCTCCCAAGTAGCTGGGATTACAGGTGTCCACCACCACACCCAGCTAATTTTTTGTAGTTTTAGTAGACATGGGGTTTCACTATGTTGGCCAGGCTGGTCTCGAACTCCTGACCTCAAGATCCATCCACCTTGGCCTCCCAAAGTGCTGGGCACCCAGCCCAGCTATCTCTTTATGTTTAATTGAAACTGAACTTGGATTAGCTCAGTATGAAGTTGGTGTGCCTTTTTCTTCTTCAGTGGCAATAGGATAAGACACTGCAAGCCCTTTCTCTGAAACTCTCAACTCCTATCTCTAAGTGTTAGTTCACCCGAAAAGGAGTCCTCAGCTTTACTTCAGAGGATAAGGAAGGAGAAAGGCCTTCAGAGAGTAATAGGCCTGATTCTTTTCTGTACTCATCACTATACTAGCCGCTTGACTTGGGCAAGTGACTTATTTTCTCTCTTCCTCTTGCACCATAGGTTTGTTGTAAAGATAGAGTTAGAGCCCATCATAGATTTACTTGCTAAATAATGTTAGACATCGATGCCACCCAGTTCGTCCTAGATCCCTATCCCTTCATTCCTTGTGAGAAATAAGCAGGCTGAGTATTTCCATCACATGGTCCTGATCCTAGTGCTCTCTCTGCCTTTCTTCCATTTATTAATTACAAAAATATGCATGAAAACATATAGTCAATGCTTTAATTCAACAAATATGTGTGTCTCTTTTCCATGACAGGTATTGAGTAGGCATTGTTTACTAGGAGTTCATATCGTCTGTCAGGAAATATCCAGTCTGGTACAGGAGCCAGTAAGTATCACTGAACTGCTGCTGCTGCTAATACTACTGCCACCAACCACTACCTCAGCAACAACACCAGCTGCACGAAAGACTGTAGATGACATTTAGCACAATGCTAAGAATGCACATTGTTACTTCTGCAATATTTTGTTTTGATCACTATTGTATTTCCAATACCTAGAACAGTGTCTGATATTAAGGAGGTGCTCATTAAAAAAATGTGTTGAAAAAGAGTGAATTTAATCCCCATAACACCCTACCTGTAATTACGTACATTTTTCAGATAAGGATACTGAGGCTGAAGGGATACACCAATCTACATAATGATGTCATAGTGCTGCGATACGAATATAGTCCTTTCTTTATTCTACTTCCTGGCAACACACACACACACATTCAATAACCCAGATAGTGGCATCAAACTTTAAGCCATTTGAAAGAACAAAGATGTTATTTGAAAACTAGATTGACACAGAAAAACTTTTAATATCGTAGGCACCAAGTGTAGATTGCTTCCTTGACCCTTATCTAAAAATCTGGTTTTATATGCAGTGGTCCAAATGTTGCATTGACAGGTGAAAATCTACCAAGTAACAAATAGCTATCTTTATTACTTCACCATATGGAAGTCAATGCAAGTGCAAATAGACAAGAAAATCAACATTTTACATAAACTGCCTAAAACTATTTCTATTTAAGAAAATTGACTTTAAGGGCCATAAACATATATTTGCATAAATAAATTGGACTATTAACAGATCAGTTAATATATTCACTACAAATGTGCTTCACAGTTTTGGCTTAGGTTTGAGAAATTTGGTATTACACATCATAATAGGCAATAAAAAATGAACAAATTGATTCATGAATTAAATAATTAGTATATATTCTTAGTTATCCTTGCTTGAGTTATTTTCAGTACATTAGTTAGAATCATAGCCTTGCACCCAAATGATGTTTCATGAATTTGAAGAGGAGGGGTGAATGAATGAGTGAGTGAATAAATGAATGAAATAATACTTTTCTAAATCTCAGATAGAAATATAGCCTTTCTCCCAATTAACCTGGGTTGATAAGTGTGATTGTATAAGAAGTAGAAGGTTTTTAAGTCACCTTTTCTTATTTTAATGAACTACATCCTGGAAATATATCCCACTCAAATAGCACCAGGTAGTACTGTTACCTATCTGCAAAGAATTTGTCTACTTTCTTACAAATAAGACAGCCAAGTGATATAAATGTTATTCTCTTGTTCTAAACCATCTTTTATTTTGTTCTACCTCACCAAGAGCTGTTACAAGAATTAAAAAAAAAAAAAAACTGTCCTTTATTTGATCTACCACTCAAGGAAATAGTGTTTATATGTCTTTTTCTTCCATATTGCATCTGAAAAATCATAAAAGAAGCCTGACAAGCTGTGTCTATCTTCAAGTGATATTTTCAGTGTTTCCTTCCACATATTTTTAGTGAATATAAAATAATAGCTATGTATTAGAAGCAGGGACTTTTAATGAAACAACCATGTAAGGTTTTATTTTTCATAAGGTAACATCAACTATTGTGTACAAAATTTTCATTAATTTTCAATCTAGTTGCTTTATAAATTTGTAATTAAATGCTCTCTTTCTTGATAAGACTATGTCACTATAATATTCTAAATAATACTATAAGATGTCAAATGCCATTTAAAAAAAGTCAGCTTTATTAGTGAAGAATTTAGTTATTGCTTCTATTTCTTTTACAATAATTACGTATTTGGGGAATAAACAAATTAGAGACAAATTTTTCTAAGAGGGAAATTATGACTAGCTTAAAGATTCAAGATTCTTGTTTCTCAGATTTATCTGAAGTCAATTAAGTTCTAGAATAGCCTCCATTCTTCTAGTATTATCTTAAGATAAATATCACATGGTCCTTCATATGCTCTTCTCTCATCCAGTGTTGTTGATCTAGGATAAGATACACAGGTAGAGGCATAACATTACCTTTAGGAGAAAGAAAGACAGGTCACCTTCCAAAGCATGTATTTATAAAAAAATTATCAATCAAAATATAATTGAACCTATGCCAGATCACAGAGCATAATACAGACACACTGCACTCTGTTCTGTGTACCATTCTCATCATTTTGCACATATTACCAAATTTTCTATACTCTCCATATTTGCAGAACAATTTTTAGTTTTGTGTGGGAGAGTTGTGTGCCTAACACTTAATCCCTACAGAAAGTATCCTGGAGCCTTTATACAGAAATGGAACTCAAGAAAACTAAGTTTAACCCCTGGGCACATCAAGTTCCTTGATAACACATAACCCTTTGAAGAAAATAAGACTTATATTGTTCAAAAGAGGAGATTCCCTTTAAACAAAACATTCATTCACTTGCTCTCGTGAAGGCAGACAAATCAATGAAGTTTCTGCCTACCAAAACTTCCTGTGAGAGCTAGTTGGTTGCTCTCACCTTGATTGCTGTCACAGAGAATGACCCTGACTCTTAGATTCATGATCCACTTTCAAGATGGACAGGGTTTTCTTAAATGTTTAAGATGTACAGTGCATTTATGGACTTCCATGAACCTTTGGCTTCTATTTCTACTCACTAGACAACTCAGAGAATTGTGTCGGGAACTCTGAGTAACAGAACTGGGTTTGGGGTAGCTTTAACTTTCTCAGGAATCAATCTAAATAGGATAGAGTGATTCCTAAGGGCCTTTCTACCAAGGACTTCAGGGATTGTCTTAACATCAGCGCATATCTCCTGGACACAGCAGCTGGAGAAAGAGCTCACCAATTATATGGGCATTCCTGCACCTGCCGTTCACTCTCTTCCTTATCACCACTCACTGTAGCTCATGTAGAGATCTTGTACACTGAGACCTGGAATTGCAGATACTGTTTTATTGACCAAAAATGAGAAATAATTATGTTAACATATTTTATTAATAATTATTTGAATACACAGTGCAAATAATTTACTTTTATTATTACCTTTTAGCATAGATGACTAAATATTTTTACCCATGAGAAAATAGTCTTCATAAAGATAAATTGGGTTGTGTAAAGCTACAGGCATTAAAAGTGAGACCTGAACCCGGCTCTTGCGTCTCTCATGCCAGTATACTTTCTAGTGTTGCATAAGGTTATTAGAATCATCGCAGAGATCTTACGAGGAAATTTATAAATGTTTACAAAACCATTCATAGCACATTATCTTACTTACATCTCCTTGTAATGTAGAAATGTGTTACTACCCCAAATGTCAAGCTGAGAAAACTGAAGCTCTGTGGGGTTGTTTAAAAACTGACATGTATTCAGTATCCCCTTACTGAAAGGGCAGTGTTCTCAGGCACAGCATTTTGCTTATGAATGTTTTCATCTTGTCACCAATTTACATACTGTGAGTGTGCACAGGTTTTAGATGGAGTTTCAGATTCAGGCACAGAGGTACATCACACTGGATATTAGTTTCCTGTTGCTGCTGCAACAAATGTTCGCAAAATTTATGGCTTAAAACAGCAAAAATCTATAATCTTACCATCCTGCAGGTCAAACATCTGAAGCTAGTCTCGTTGGACTAAAATGAACATATCAGCAAAGCTGTACTCCTTTTGGAGACTGTAGGGGACGTATCCATCTTCTTGCCTTTTCTAACCTATGCTCCTTCATCTGTGGCCACCTTCTGTCTTTAGAACAAGAAATGCCCAGTCAAGTTCTTTTCATGCTGTCTCTCTCTGACACTGACTCTCTTGCCTCTCTCATTTACTTATAAGAGCCCTTGTCATTACATTAGTTTTACCCAAGTAGTGCAGGATAATCTTCCTATTTCAGTGTCAACTGATTAGCAACCTTAATTCCATCCACAAACTTAATTCTCTCTTGACATGTCACATAACACACTCACATGTTCTGGGGGTTGGTGCATGGGTATCTATGGTGCAGGTGATATTATCCTGCCACTATATTCAGACTAAGAACTAAAGCCTTTTCCATAGCATATGACTGTTTTATAGAGATATGGCAGGGGCTGGGGGCAGGAGGCTTGTTCCATTGAACTTTCCTAACAAAGACCACAATAAAATTCATCCCTGGGCTGTGGAAATGGTGCTGATACTACTTAAGTCCCACCTAAAATGTCCTATACTTTGAAACTGAGTAGGATTTCTGACCCATATGCTGAGAGTTTTGTTTCTGATTTTCATTATTTGTATGTTTATTTCATGATACATGTTGAAACGGTCTTCAACCAAAGTAAAGTGAAAAGCTAGATTCAGCTGCTCGTGTCCATGGAGACATGAGCAATAATTTTTTCCAACACTGCAAGCACGGTTCTCTTCTGGCAGCCTTCATTCTAGTCCTCTGGGTCTCAGAATATCGTTTTGCTCTAGCGTGGCTACCACTATAGACGCTTCTTGTTGTACCAGGTGGATAAAGCCAAAAGTCATGCCAACACATCAAAAAAGTAGAAGCCATTATTTTGCTCTATCTACATCTAGGAAGGATCTAATTCAAATTGATAAGGGTTTTGTGGGGTAGGCTTTGGGAAGGCTTTTTAGAAGAAGAATACTTCAACTTAGCCTTGCAAGATAATTAGAAAATAGCCAAGGAAAGGGAGAGAGGAAGGTTTCAAAGGAGAACGGGGCTTTGAAAAGGCACTGATGCCTGAGAGGGTTCTGGGGAAGAGTAACTTTACTAAGAACAAGAAATCAACCTGTATGCCTTTCTTGGTCTTTCTTGATACAATGTCTTTCACAGGGGGTCTTCTAGAGGAAATTCCCTTATACCTGTTGATGTATAAGTCAAATAACTGCATAATAATACGTATTAATTAACACGAAAGTCAGATGCCACCTGCACTGTAAACTTTGGTAGGCAAATTCCTCCCACCAGTGCCCTCTCACAGCAGTTATTGCTGTCTGCTCAGACCGCTGTCTGACTCATACAGTGAGCTGTGTACGATGTGTCTCTCTCCTCTAGATCACGAACTACGGGGAGGTAGCAACAGTCCTCCCACAATCACACACTGACCTTCCTGAATCCATGCCTACACTCTCGCCTTCTCTCCCATCACAGAGGAAGACAAGCCTCTGTTCCTATCTGAGGCACCCTCTTCGCTTATACTCTGCATTCCATGTCTCATCTACTCAAGGACTTGTTCTCAAAGCACTCCACCTCCCACCCTGCAACATCCACTTCTCACTTTTCTCACTTACTTGCATACAGAAATATCCAACAGCCTCTCTTTGACCCATGTGCCTCTCCACCTACAACTGGGCTTCTTGTTCTTTGTCATAGCACTTCAAAAATCATCTGTGCATGCTGTCTTCATTTCCTCACCTCACTTTTTTTTTCAACCCACACATATCATATATGTAGCCTAGAAACTCCACTAAAGCTGTTCTGACAAGGTCAATGGCAGCCTCCACATTGCCAAATGCAGAGCCACACAGCTTTGCTTTCATCTTAGTCTCTTAGCAAAATTTCACATCGTTAATGTTTCTCTTCTTGATACAGGTTCTCTTGGATGGAGTGGTTCCCTGTTTTCCTTCAGCCTCACTAGTTGTTATTATTCAGTTGTCTTTGCTGAGTCTTCCTTACTGTGGAACCTCTAAATGTTGCAAAAACTCACAGCTCAATCCTGAGATCTCTTCTGTCTACTGTTCCTGATGCTTATGTCATTTGACTACTCCCCTTTAGGATATTTATCCAATAGTCTACCTGGATGTCTAACAGTATTTCAAATGGAAAAAGCTTTGTTTTCTTATTAATAATACTGTTCTTTTTTTAAGACTTCCAGTAACTTCCAAGCCAAAAGCTTAGCACCATTCGGAATTTAATTCTTCAACTCACTGTTCACATCAATTCTGTCAACAGTCAATAGCCATCCACTTCCAATGCTCTTCTAATCATTCTATTTCTTTTCATCTCCTAGGATGGTTCTTTTAACCAGAACCATCCTAAGTCAAGCAACCAGAAACGTGTACCCAGACTGTGGCAATTTTCTCCCTATCTGCTTTCTTTCCTTTCTTGTTACTCTACAATCAGTTTTTATACGAGAACCAAAATAGACTTTGTATAAAATGGAAAGCAAGGCCCACCACGGTGGCTCACATCTGTAATCCCAGCACTTTGCAAGGTTGAGGCCTGTGGATCACTTGAGGTCAGGAGTTCAAGACCAGCCTTGCCAACATGGCAAAACCCTGTCTCTACTGAAAATACAAAAATTAGCTGGGCGTGGTGGCACACACCTGGAATCCCAGCTACTCAGGAGGCTGAGGCAGGAGAATCACTTGAACCCTGGAGACGGAGGTTGCAGTGAGCCAAGATCGTGCCACTGTGCTCCAGCCTGGGTGACAAAGTAAGACTCTGTCTAAAAAATAAAAGGAAAAGAAAACGGAAATCAAGTTATGCCACTGTTGTGCACCATACTCTCCACTGGTTTCCCGTAACACTTATAATAAATGTCAAATTCCCTGTTATCATGTGGAAACCCTCTAAATCTAAGCCCTTCTCTCTCTACCTCTTCCAGCGCACCTCACAGACTCTCTCTCTCTCTCTCTTTCTCTCTTCCCTCCTTCTTCCGTCCCCCCTTGAACAACCTGCCTCATTGTTATCTCAAGCTAAATATCAGGTCTTGGAAAGTTGTTCTCCCTGACCATGCAATCAAAAGATATTATGATATCATAGTAACTTTTTCTTCTTAGCATGTTTTAAAGCACAAATCACCTTCGACTTGCTATCACTTGATTGGCTCCTTATGTAGTCTCTGTATTTTTCCCCTAGAACTTAAGCGTCATGCCTCTCTTGTTCACTACATACCTCCTGCAGGTAAAATAATACCTGGCAAATAATCAGTGCTCAATAAATACTTATTAAATTAATGAATGAACACATTCATCTAGATAGACAAATGATAGGCACAATGGGATGCAGGAAGCCAAGCAGAAGGATGGCAAAGTCACCTATTTCATGAACTGCAGGGAATTTTTCACCTGGCGTTTACACCAAATGTGTCCACAGGTCAGCTCAATTTGGGGCCGTTAGGTGGATTTTAGACAATAGGTGGATGTATTTAGACAATTCCAACAAAGAATGAGTCACAGCAGCCCCCTTTCAATATCTGTACCCTATGCTCACTCCCACAAATTACTCAGCTTCAGCTCTGAGTGTAGTGCTGTAATTATACCTGTTACTAATTAAAGGACAAAATAAATGCGAAGTGCCACTGAAATACCACACAGGAGTAAAGCAGCAATTATATTTATTGTATAATTTCCATTTGGCAATTACATTGATTGTACAATTGAACATACTGCATAATGGTGATAATTGCAATTGTTAACGTTTTCTGCTGGGAAGAATACAAATAGGTAAACAAGTTGCTTTGAGTTACTGACAATCAGAAGGAGGAGTCTGGTGTTTTCCCTTAATTCTTACACATATTGATCAGAGATATTTCCTTAGAAAACACTGAAGTTTGAAAAACAGACCTTTCATGTTTTGAGAAGGAAAATCAATCTGAACCGTTCAGTGTTTTGCATTGATGGGAGCAGGTAAATGCAAAGGGAAATCAGGCAGAGAGAATCGAAGGAAAGTGTTCACATATTAGAATCGAACTGGTGAGAAACCTCAACCGCAGGGCCAGGGGCAGCTACGAAACAAATCCCAGGGCATAAGAAAATGGGCATTGGCTGAGACCTGAGCACAAATCAATCCTTCTTAGTGGGTCACATTTGCATAAAAAAAACTCAGAATGGCCACAACAAGGGACAAAAACAGTGTCTGGTAAGAGAGCATGCATGCTAAGCCATAAAGCCTTTGAGTTCTCCCTGTGCCCACTTACACAGAAGGAATACACGGTAGTTTTACAACAAGGAATGAAGTTGCCTTCTATAGAGCTACCTTTGTAAGTTGCATCTTGGTGGTATACTCACCTGGACTGCATTTTGCTCTACATTATTAATGGCTCCCTGCAAACTTGTTAAGATAATAATAAGACTGGAAGTCATCTGGTTTGTACCTTTTATCGTCATGTGAATTTGGAATGGGGATCGATGTAAAAATAAATGAATGCTGAAAGCCATGGGTGAACAGTGGGCAAGGAGGTAAAGAAGAAACTAGGGTTGCATTTATACATAACTGGCCAAGGATCCTTATACTTATCATGAAAGCACTGCTGTTCATTTGAGAGTCCTAGGCTTGCTTATAACTCCATGAGCTGACATTATATCATTTATCCTTTAAAAATTCTGTGACCTAGATAAAACTGAACTTTGTCCTATTTTATAGGCTAAAAAAATTAAGGCTTTGGCAGATACTGTACACTGTTACCCAAGTCCTTTCAATCCTAAAGTAAATTTTGCTAAACTATCCAACTTACAAAGAAGAAACCCTCTCCACCTAAGAGATAAATCCTGATTAATCTAACCACTCTAACCAAGCAAAGCAATCTCACTACTCTTGGCAGTGACTGGGGTGACATGTGACCCAGTTCTGAATAGTGGCATGTCAGGGAGATCCTGAGGTGGAGAGTTGTAGGAAGGATATTCTCAGTCTTATGAAGGATACAAAAGAAAAGACATGCTCATTCCTCTCTCTGCTAGAGTTATGTGTCTGGGTAATGCCTGGTCCTGCAGAGCCAACATGAGTTCATGAAGGGAAAATATGAGAAGAAAACAAATACTGAGGAATTCGGGAAACACAGTCGGGAAGAAACCTTAGATCTTAAATATTGTCCTTGGGACACTGAATTAACCAGCCCTGGAGCTAATCTGCCTCAGCTGTGCTCTTGCTAAAGGCATTCTCAGGAGTTTCTTCTCTAGTTGGCAGCTGAAAGCTTCTTCATTGGCCCAGAGGCACAGAGGAGTAAACCAATTTGTTTTGAGGTCACTGAGCCAGTGGGAAAGCTGGTCTGTGAACAGTGAAACCACTATCTCCCAATTTTTCATTTCTTCAGCTTTTGGATTAAATAAATAAATGATGTTCAGATACAAGTAGAAGGAAAAAAATCACTATTTTAATAGCTATTTCTATTGAAATGTGGCAACCTTGAGAGATTAAGAAAATAGAATTGTTAACAACTTGGCATATGGAAAAACACAATAAATTTTACAAAATGATTAAGAGAACGTGCTTAATTATCTATTTCAATTAAAAACTAAAGCCATAACCTTATTTGTTAAAAAAATTGATTCTTAATATGTGATTGTCCTAAATTTGTTTTGTTTTCTGATTGGAAAGTAATAAATTTGTTAATGGCATTATGAACATAACCATTAATATCACTTAGTGACAGGGAATGTGCTAAAATTACTGAAGACATTCTGATGCAACCCTCTCAGCTATATTAGAAACTAGCACCCTTATTGTCCCCTTTTTACTATGTAAGTAATTGAGCAAAGGTGTTTTATCAAAGACACATGGCCTGCAATGACCAAATCAGGATCTGTATTTTGAAGACCCTGTTCTGAATCACATGCCATACTGCTTGCCCTTTTGGAATTGTCTGTATCTTGTTCAAAATTTCTCTTTGTTTTTTTGTTTGTTTTTGTTTTTGTTTTCAGATGGAGTGTTGCTCTGTCACCCAGGCTGGAGTTCAGTGGTGCCATCTCAGCTCACTGCAGCCTCCATCTCCCTGGTTCAAGTGACTCTGACTCAGTCTCCCAAGAAGCTGGGATTACAGGTGCCTGTCACCACACCTAGCTAATTTTTGTATGTTTAGTAGAGATAGGGTTTCCTGATGTTGGCCAGGATGGTTTGCATGCCTGGGCTCAGGCGATCCACCTGCCTTGGCGGCCCAAAGCGCTGGGATTATAGGTATGAGCCACCATGCCTGGTCTAAAATTTCTTAAATATATATATTTTTAAAAAACACATTTATTGAAGAAACTAGAAAAGAGACAACTGTTTTTAAAAATCTTAAGTTTAACTCTATTATTTTGGAAAAATCTGGGATTTTCTCATAGAGCTATTCTAAACTATTCAGGCACAGTAAAAACAAGCATGGCATATTCTCATTTGCTTATGGGATCTAAAAACCAAAACAACATAATTCAAAAAAAGAGAGTACAAGGAGGGTTACCAGAGGCTGGGGAGGGTAGTGGGAGGCTACCTTTTATAGTTATATAAAAATTAAACCCTTTTCAAAAGTAGCCATTTCATTATGTGAATATCCAGTTTACTTATTTCATGGCATTATTTTGATTTTTTGTATTTAAAATTTTTTTTGCCCTCCACCATGTTCTTTAATTTTATTGTTGAGTTACAAACAATCCAATTACATTTTTAAGTTATTTTAAAATTTGCAATTAAGCAATTATTAACTATAGTCACACTATTGTACTATCGAATAGTAGGTCTTACTCATTCTTTCTATTTTTTTTTTTTTTTGGAAACCGATACCCATCCTCGCCTCTCCCACAACCTCCTGCTACCCTTCCCAGCCTCTGGTAACCCTCCTTCTATCACATTGTAGTTTTAATTTGCACTTCTTCGAAGATAATGGAGTTGAGCACCTTTTCATGTAGGTTCTTTTTTTTTTTTTTTTTTTTTTGAGAAATGTTTATCCAAATATATTGCCCATTTTTTGACCAGATTATTAGATTTTTTTCTGTAGAGCTGTTTCAGCTCCTTATATATTCTGATTATCGATTCCTTGTCAGAGGAGTCATATGCAACTGTTTTCTTCCATTCTGTGGGCTGTCTCTCCATGTTGTTGATAGTATCCTTTGCTGTGCAGTAGCTTTTCAACTTATGATCTCATTTGTCCATTTGCTTTGATTGCCTATGCTTGTGAGTTACTGCTCAAAAATTCTCTGCCCCAGATAAATGTCCTGGAGATTTTTCCCCAATGTTTTCTTGTAGTAGTTTCAAAGTTAAGGTCTTAGGTTAAAATAGATTAACTTTTTAATCTATTTTAATTTAATGTTTGTATATGGTGAGAGATAGGGGTCCAGTTTCCTTCTGCGTATATCCAATTTACCCAGCACCACTTATTGAAGTGACTGTCTTTTTTCCAGTGTATGTTCTTGGTGACTTTATTAATAATGAGTACACTGTAGGTGTGTGCATTTGTTTCTGGGTTCTCTATTCTGTTCCATTGATGTCTGCGTCTTTTTTCATGCCAGTATCCTGCTGTTTTGGTTACTGAACCTCTATAGTATAATTTGAAGTCAGACAATATGATTGCTTCAGCTTTTTTTTTTTTTTCTTTTTGCTTAGGATAGCTCTGGCTATTCTGGCTATTCTGATTCTTTTGTGGTTCCATATATATTTTAGGGTTTTTTTTTTCTATTTCTGTGAAGATTGCTGTTGGTATTTTGACAGAGATTGCACTAAATCTGTAGAGTTCTTTTGCGTATTCTTGATGAGCTTCATCTTTGATGTGATTCTTCAAAATAATTTCTGAAAATGTACATTCAGTAATGCCATCTAAGTAAAAGACTCTCAATGATAGAATATGATCCTTTCAGTATATTCCAAAGTTAAAACACTGGCCCAGCTATTCCTCACAATGGGCTTTGCCAGAGATCTGGTGAGCCTCAATGTTGACACTACCAAATATATTAAAAAATCAACCAAGAAGCAAATCAGGAAGCCTCTCTCAACCCATTAAAACAAAAACAAAGCAAAAGCTCCAGGATCACAGTGTCTGGTTTGAAATGATGGTGATGAATCCTGGGTTTTATCCTTCTCACACTAAATTAAATTTATACTCCCTCAAAGTACACATAATGAAAACTTTTGCTTAGCGATAGTTTCAGGACATAAGTGATTAACAGCAAACTATGAATTTTGAAAATATCTTTACATGTGTTTCTTCAAGATACTTAACATAACTGTTAAAAATCAATAACTATCATAAACTGATAAATAAATATAAATATCCAGAGGTAAAGATGTCGTAATGGCACATAAGGAGTACATTAAGACTACCTCCTTTCAAGAAGGCAACAAATCAAAGCTTTAGGAACTTTAAGCCATACTTTTGTTTGTGTTGCTCTCTCTGTTGGCAGCCTCAGTAATATTCTAGTCAACATGTGTCATATTACTCCATCACATACACTCTAAGGAATGCTTATCCTCTGGGCTTAGAAAAAGACATTCTGGATATTTTATTTTATTCATTAAATTTATATTTTGCATCAAAACAAACTAAATACATGAAAATAAACTCAAATTACAAGTACCAAAAGGTCTCCTCCAGTTTTTGGGTGATGGCCTAGAATGGGCTCTAATCTAGTGGAAAGTAAGATCAGGTGAGATAGCTATGATGCCAGGAAGTGACGGAGATAAGTGATAAACCAGGACTTAGCAAAGTGATCACCATTTCCCCTGCATATGTTCCTAAATGAGATTTCCTGTGTTACAACTGACTGTACCATGTGGAGAGCAGAAGTCCAGGATCTCAAAGCCTCAGAAATTTCTATGGAAGGAATCTGAATGTCCAGAAAGTCTATAATATTTATAGATATATAAGGTATATGTTCCATTGGTAAGTGTTTGTATACATATGGATCAATCTTGTGATTTTTAATTAAGTAATTAGTTCAACATCAACATTGAAATGGATTATGAGCACAACCAAATATTTGCTTGTCACCCATCTGCATTTTAACATCCTCATCTGTACAATGAGAGGATGGGATTCAATTGCCTTTAAGGTCCACTTTGTTGGCATTCCAGCTGCAATATACAGTGATGTGTGCCCACATACCATGCAGGATAAATTCTGAGGCATTAGTGGAAGTGGACCTCAGTGGTCATAGCCTGAGTAACCTGTCGGTAACCAGGATGGAGGCTGTAAAGCCAGCTTGCTCGTGGCTGCTGAGCTCCCATAGAAAGGGGCTTTCCTAGGTGATCCCAGGCACTGAGTACAAGCAAAGGAAAGGTTCCCTATCTCTCACTTCAATGAGGATAGCAAAGATGCTTCTCTTATGATTCCCCCTGGATTCCTCTGTATTGGTGAAGATTTGAGTTGGTATGAGGGGATGTTCGGGGAAAAGGAATAAGATATTATCTGCTTTTTAAAATAAGTGTGTGTGAGTTATAATCTCTTTGGGGTTCTGAATGCTTCTGTAAAAAATTATCTTGTTTTTAAGCAATGAATTTTTGAATCAGTTATTCGCTAAAATAATTCCTAACAATTGCATGCCCACACAGACCCTTAGATATGAAATGATAAGATTTCTGCTGATATTCATTAACAGGGAACTAGAGATATATACAAAATAGTTGATATATCTGTGAGGAAACTTACCTGTTCAAATAATATATTTTTTATTGCATTTTAGGTTTTGGGGTACATGTGCAGAACATGCAAGACGGTTGCATAGGTACACATTTTGTTAAAAGATGCATGATGGCAGTTGCAGACGCAATGATAATAGTGGGTGACATACCACATGAAACTCTTTAGATTGGATGATAAACCTAAACTCAAATTTGTTCGATGAATTATTAAGAATAAAACCAGTGATAAGATGTAAAGATGTGATAGTGTAGTCCCTGAGCATTGCTGAAGTGATGTTGAAAGACTCTTGGGTCAACAGTAATGTTTAGTAATGAGACAACCAGCTTGTCCACCCTAGTTTTCTGCTTTGGCATTAAACTGGATGAAAAAGATACATTCCAATAATTTCTTCTCCAGTGGAGGCAATGAAGTCTCAGGCGTGTATAAAGAGATGTTTATTATTATATCTTTCTACTTCAATAAGCTGGAGTATGCAAGTAGTAAAATAATACATTTCAACAAATTGATGATGATTTGGAATTATATTCAAATAATAAATATTTATTATTTATGTATTAATTATTTAATATTAATCATTATTACTTGAAAGAGATTAAATAGACATTGGTAATCTGTCCCAAAAATAAGCTTTAAGTCGGCCCCAGAATAAAGATCAGAGATGGAAAAACAAGAGAGGCCTGGCTGAGTTAGACAGTGGGGAGATAGCAAAGCTACTTACCTAATGCCCAAGCAACAGTGTTAGTTAAAACAAGTGGTCAGATAGTCTAGTGCCTTACATTTTTCATTTGCAGCTTCCTAGCCCATGAATGCAGTAAATACTCAGTAAGAGAGTATTTTTTTCCTTGTTTCCTTTTCATTACTTACTCAAGAAATAGGCTGAGAAAAAAAACCTCAAAGGAGGCTGGGCCAGGACTGGTCCTGAGTCTGGATATCCCCAGGGTTGGCCTCTTTTCTCTTTTTGCAAATTCTGTCTCCAGTCTCTTAAATGGTTATTTACTGATCTCTCCCAACGGGTCACAGGTAATAGGCTCAAGATGTAGTTGCCTTTACTTGTGCTGTGTAAAGCTTTCAAAGATGCCCTGTCAATTAATTAGCAACTTAATTGGAATGAAATTATGTAATTAGGCATCTCATTTCAAATTAGCTATAAATGTTTACTAGCTCACAGGGATGAGACTTTCAAGGGGCCTTCATCCAGACCTTGTTGATTTTGACAGTAAGTCAATGTCTGTCTTCCTTTTCTTTTTCAAGTTAAAAACACAGGATTTTAATAAAGCCCAAAGATAAGTCCCATAAACCAGTCAGATATCAGTTGACTTAAATTTTGTAGAAGCTGATGACCTGTTCCAAAGTAACACATTCTTCATTTGGGCAAGAGTATTTAATAGATCCCCAATGAATTAATTGCCTCCAGAAAGTGAATGGTGAATTCATTATAAGTCCAGGGGGTTTGCAAAATATAACAAGAAATGGGTTTGTTTTACATGTAACAACTTATTATTATACATAAATAAAAATATTAAGTTGTTCTATGATAAAAGGTCTCTGACTTCTTTGAGCATGCTTTCAAAAGCTTTAAAGCATTCCTCTATCATGGTAGATATTGCCAATGTTTTCCCAGAAACCACTCCCTGCATCTCACTTTTAAATGGACTCCTTCCTCCATGTCAAAGTCTTAGCCTCGTCTTTTGGACAAGTCCTTACCAATGGAATTTAAGTAGATGGAAGGATGTGTAGAACTTCCACGTTATTTCCTTAAGAGCCAATTTATTGTAAGAAGTTGATTTGTACTAAGAAGTTGATTCGTACTAAGCAGCCCCCAGTTTTACTGATCTGACACTATCAGTGCAAATGTCAAGGCAGTGAAAAGTGTAAATAACATCTTAGCATTACTATAAAAATAGTTTTGACATAACATATTCCATATAAGGTTCTCTGTAGACCACACATTGAGAACTGCTGGTCTCAGCTGCTTTAACAAATATACCCAAGAATATAGAAGATCAGACAAGATAAAACAATATTTGCCTATGCAATTGTTCATGTCATTCTATTCCTCTTGCAAAAAAGTAGACGTGATTCCAGTGAGGCAGGACTTCCTCTGTAGATAAGGGCAACTCCTTGGGAAATGACGGGACAGCTAGAAAAGAAGGAACCTCAGTCCTCAGATGACCTTGTGGAGGAGATAACCATCTTCCTCACTTGAACTCCCGTATTTAAGCCAGAGTTTCTGTACCTCAACTTGTCATTTAAGGTTGGATAATTCTTTGCTCTAGCAGATTGTTTTGTATGTTTAAGATGTTTAGTAGCATTCCTGGATGCCAGTAACTTCTCTCTCTCCAGTCATGGCAACAAAAAGAATGTTTCTAGACATTGCCAAATACCTCGGAGGGACAAAATTTCCCCTGGTTGAGAACCACTGCATTACATGAGCAAATATTATTTTATTAAATATTTTGTTTAATCATCTGTATTTTTGGGTCTTTTTATTATAGCAGCTGAGACCAGCAGTTCTCAACATGTGGTCTGCAGACATAATTATAAAATTAAAAAAAAAAAAAAACAGTTTGCACCTGAAGAATGCAATAATTGTACTGAAGAATTCACTAGAAGGGTTCAACAGCTAAGGTGACCAAGAAGATATGAGAGTTAGCAAACTCAACAGTAGGTCATTTGAAATTAAATAGACAGAGGAGCAAAATGGAAAAAAGAATCAAAAACAGTGAAGAAAGCCCAAGTGACCTATGGAAAGTTATCAAGCTAGCTACTGTATGAATTATGGGAGTCCCAGGAGAAAGACAGAGAGAAAACAGGTAGAAAGAGAAAAAAAGATTTTTTTAAAGAATTATTAGACAAAAACACCCCAAATCTGAAGAAGGAAAAATGCATTCAGATTCGAGAAGGCAAATGAATCCCAAATAAGATGAACCCAAGGAAGTCCACACTGACACATAAAATCTGTCAAAATTAAAAGACAGAGAATTTTGAAACTAGCAAGTGGAAATCCAATCATTGTGTACAAGAAAACACTCTTAACACTATCAGTGGGTTTCTCAGCAGAAATCTTGCAGCCAAAAATGAAAATGCATCATATATTCGCAGTGCTTAAAAAATGCCAAGCAAGAATAGTATACCTGGCAAAACTCTCCTTAAAAACGAAGAATGCATACTTTTTCAAATGAATAGAAGCTAAGGGAGTTCTGCTCAACTAGACCTGCCTTACAAAAAAAATCCTAATGGAGTACCAAAAATTGAAACTGAAAGATGCTAAACAATAAACTGAAAACATTTTAATGTGTAAAGTTCACTGGTAAATATATATATACTTAAAAACACAGTACTGTAATACTGTGAGGTGCATAAATCAATTTTAATTCTGGTTTAGAAGTTCGAAGACAAAAGCATAAAAATAGCAATAACTATAAAATATACTATTTGATACACAACATAAAAAGATGTAATTTGTGATATCAATAACATAAAGGGTAGAGAAGGAGAGAGGTAAAAGTGAAGAGTTTTTGTATATGATTGAAGTTAAATTGTTATCAGCTTAAAATAGAGTATTATAGCTATAACATGTTTATGTAAGCCCCATGGTAATGCTAAACATAATATTTATAGAAGATATACAAAATAAATGAGAAAGAAAAGAAGGCATGTCACTATAAAAAAAAATCAATGAAACATAAAGAAGATAGCAGGAGAGAAAAAAAGGATCAGAAGCACTACAAAACAGAAAGAAAATCATCAACAAAATAGCCATAAGAAGTCCTTCCTTTTCAAGAATTTTGTTAAATGTGAATGTATTAAACTCCTCAATCAGATGGCATAGAGTGGCAGAGTAGATTTAAAAGATACAATTATCTGCTACCTGTAAAGACTCTATAGATTTAAGGACAAATCTGATCAAAGTGAAAGGATGGGGTAAAAAAGACGTTCCATGCAAAAAGACAAAATAAAGAGGATGACCATACTTATGCCAGACAAAATACATTTTAAGTCAAAAACTGTCACAAGAGACAAGGATATTATATAATGATAAAAAGATCAATGCACAAAGATGATATAACAGTTACAAACGCATATGTATACAACATCAGAGCACCCAAACATATGAAGCAAACATTGACAGACGTGAAGGGAGAAATAGACAGCAACACACTAATAGAATACTTCAATATTTACTTTCAATAATAGAACACTCAGACAGAAGATCAATGAGGAAAGAGGACTTGCACAAT